TGTGGGGTGGGTGGGTGGATGTGTGTATGTGTATTAGCAATCAACTTCATAGGCGAGTGATGGGTTTAATCCCTTGGATTTCTTTCTCTTTACTTTGTTGTTGTTGTTGCTAGTTACTTATCCCAAAAGGCATCGAAACCTTTCTTGCTTCAATGCTTTCACTATGACCGAAATAATCCAAACCCTTTGAAGGAGGATCGAAGAAGCTTGAAGGACTGAAGATGTGAAGCTTGAAGGAACACTGACCAAAGTTGTGACCTGTGAAGCTTGAGCAAAGAGAAATCGAGTGGAGAAGGAGTTGCTCGATCAGACCCAATCCTTCTACCTGTGCGTCACTGCGAGTGGAGAAGAATATGTCTAGTGTTGGTCCTGGTTTGGTTTGGTCTGAATCTGTTGGTGTGGTTGAGTGGAGAAGATGATGGAGATTGGCTGGAATTAGGGTAAAATTAGGAATTTTGGGGTTTTTATGAAAAAGATAGTAGAACCGTCTGATTTGACAAAATTGTCCAATTCACGGTTTTTGTCAAAAACCGGCCAGTTTGGTGGTTTTATTCCGGTTTAACTACTTAAACGGTTCAATTCAAGAACGGGACCAGTTGAGGTGCTGGTTCACGGTCCAACCGGCCTATCCGGTTTGGTCCGATTCTGGTAACACTCGGAGCGACAACCTAGAAGTTGTCAAGCTCAGCTTGACAGAAGGAGTACCCCTTGGGTAATTGATGCCTTTGTTGAAGACATTTGGCAGATTTCAAAGTCCTTTAATCTAGGATTTTTATACAAGCTAAGAGCCTCTAATAAGGCAGATCACTAAGTTGTTGTTTATGTTTTATCCAACTTGTGACGTCCCAAAATTCGGGAGTCCTTTGTTAACCCATTGATCACCCATCAATCCGCGAAATTACTCGTGATAGTTGTCCATTCTGACATCACGTCTATCACATCCCTGTAACTGAGATTTCAACCCGCAGGAGGATCGTGTTTTATTTAATCATTTAATTCCATTTAGGTTCAATATACCCCAATGTATCTTATTTAAGATCCATTTGTGTCATTGGAATCAAAGAACATATTGTTCAAAAGCATGACAATGCATTCTTAAAATTCCAGATTTTTGGAAAACCTTCCGGTAGGTTTTGCTTGACCTTCCGAAAGGTTTTACTTACTGAAAAAGTTTATTCAGAGATTTTTCATCGACCTTCCGGAAGGTTTCCCCAATCTTTCGGAAGATTTTGCTTACTGGAATCCTATCTTGAATAAAGATGTGTCAACCTTCCGGAAGGTTAGAATCGACCTTTCCGGAATGTTTTGCCCACTGTTTGACAATTTTCGTTGTCTATCCAAACCTTCCGGAAGGTTTTGTCTAGACCTTCCAAAAGATTTTACCCAGAATTTTTTGTTTCACCTATTTTTCATTTCCAATTCATTCCAAACCTTTCCACAAACACCCCAAACATGTAAAATATTGTTTTTCACAAGAGACTTGATACATACCAGTTCTATTACAATTAATTTCATATGATTACAAGTCCATTTACACAATTACATGCTCAAAATAAAGTTTTACAAAAATTTACTTTCAAAAGCCATAAACCGACTTTTCTTCATCGTTAAGGCCTCGAATGTGAGTCCTCCATCGATCCGAACCTCGCACCTGAAATGTTTTCCGCATAGGGTGAACCAACGCCTAGTAGAATGTTTCCTATAGAAGCTTCTCCCTAACCTAAGTGCATATGCAATGTTCACATGCAACATTTAACAACAACAATCATTTCAACCAACACTTAAGCAAGTCAAGGTTGAAATCTAACATATCATTCCATGAATTAAGATGATGTCCATTCATGCAATTTACCCGAGCCCTTCCTGGCTCCACAATATATGCAAAGTCTATGTGTATAAGACTGAACTTTTCTAACTCCGACCATTTACCTTCTCCCATACTATGCCATGAGTCTCAAAACTGGGCTTTCCACGTGCCCGCCATTGTTGTTACACGCTCAATGACTACTTAAAACCTCTGGGTCTTTCTTGGAGGTGGGTATTTATGGACTTACACCAACGGTTACCCAACCGACACAGAATTCATGGACTTTCACCANTTGTTACACGCCCAATGACTACTTAAAACCTCTGGGTCTTTCTTGGGGTGAGTATTTATGGACTTACACCAACGGTTACCCAACCGACACAGAATTCATGGACTTTCACCAACGATTCTGGGTACACCGACACACTTTATGGGCTCTTATACCAACAGAAGTGCGTATCCAAACACCGGACCTTTCACCCGAGGGATAGTCTAGCCCTTCTTGCTAACTCCGACCCAATTCTTTTTCATGAAAACGTGCGACTCAGCCGGATATTCAATCCAACTTTTTCGAGCCCACCTATAATCCACCTACGTGGTGTTTGATGACAACCATGAATCCACACCCATAAAATGCGATGTCTCTGTACATATGCAATATAATGCACTATTGCTATTTTAATGTCATACCCATATGTAATGAATGTCATATGTGCAACTTTAACCACACGTATACATATATCATACAATTTATCACCAATTTCATCTCAATGTCAACATATCAATGAACATACGTCAACACTTCATTTCCAAAAATAACTCACAAGCATGTTATTTCCTCATATATATATCCCAATAACACACTTTGTTCACGAAGGCATAATTAAAACACATAGCATGCCCACATAATACCAAGTTCCATGGAATTACAAGTAATTAGCACATACCAATTTCAAGCTAGGAATTTAATTTAAATTAGGTCAATTTTCCATACCCAATTCACTAAATCAATCGATTCCATCAACTCCACATCCATAGACAAGTGATATATATCCCTATCAACCTACCCATTACATAAAACACTCTAAGTTGTAAAATAAACCCGAGTAGAAAGGAACCCTACTTCTTGAAGCGTGAATTAACGGTAGGACCTTCAAGAATATCCCCCAAGTCCAAAATCTTGATTTTCTAAAATTCCGCCCTTGGAATCTTCTGTGAAACTTGTTGTTTTTGATATAGACGCGAGACCCTCGACGAGAGGAGCAATTTTAATTCTTGGCACGTATGAATTTGAGCTCCGTAGCTTCCTAGATCGTAGAGAGAAGGTGGAGAACTTCTCTTTTTTTCTCTCTTCTTTTCTCATGTTAAACCGGCTGAACAAATGGGAAAAAAATCAATTTTTTCCCCTATTTATACCCTTTTTTTTCTTGGCCCATTAAGCACCACACGACCCTATTTTTTCGGGTCCGTTTTCGCCTCGAAATGATTAAATTTCGTTCCGATTTAAGTTCAAAATATTTTTGTTTTAACTTACCTTAAATAATTTTTCAAATTTCAAAATTTTATCAAAAATCTCGCTTTTAGGTCACTCAAAACTCGACCGCCTTGTAAAACGTGAAATATTTGACTATCTCAGAATTTGATAAAATTTGAAAGGATAACTAGATTTCACGAGATAAATTCAAATGTGAGGTCCGTTTTGTCATTCGAGATCTAGAAAAATTTAGGTTTTNCGTAAAACGTGAAAAATTTGACTATCTCAGAATTTGATAAAATTTGAAATGGTAACTAGATTTCACGAGATAAATCCAAATGTGAGGTCCGTTTTTGTCATCCGAGATCTAGAAAAATTTAGGTTTTCAACCTGTATTGTAGAGACAATTACCGTTTTGCCCTTTTTTGTAAAAAGTTTAAATTTACCGGGTTTTACACAACTCATTAGTCTTGAGTTGGATTAGCTGTCCATCCACAATGTTAACAACTTTTTTATGTTCTCATTGTAATCAAAGCCCTAAAATTTCTGTCCAAAGCCTGAACCAGTACGCCAGCTTCTTCTGTGATTAATAGTCTCAATAAGAACTAAGGAAGTTTAAGGGATAATAAAAAATCACTGGAGAACTTGCATAGAGATTTGATTGTTAAGACAGAAGCCTTTGTTCTTGGTGAGAAATGCAGGCATCGCCTAGGTCTTTGAGGGAAAGTGTGCAAGCGCCATTTTAATAAGGCCAGAGGATGCCGGCTTGAAACACTAGAACAAATGATTCACTTTCAAGAAAGATACNACCAGAGGATGCTGGCCTGAAACACTAGAACAAATGATTCACTTTCAAGAAAGATACAAAAAGGAAAAAATGAGACATCGAAAGCAATATATTCCGTACTAACCAGGCGAACATCTGGATGAAGGTAACATCATATTGGCGTCTCATTTTCACAAATTTTATTGCAAGGAATCCCTCGTAGTGCACTTCAAGATGATGTAGAGCGCTTCCTTTCTTTTTGATGAAAATGGGGACCATGGTTTGTGTGCTTGAAATTGGGTATTTTGGGAGGAAAGGTCTGCGTAGGAGTCTGAAAATTGGTTTTACTTACAAACTGTTTGATGAATTGTCTATGTAGGACTCTGTTGTTTTGGACATTGTAAAATCTATTGTAAATTGCTTTAGAATTGATGGGTTGCTGTTTGGGAAGAAAACCATTGTAAATTCTTAAAATTGATGGAAAATTGATATATTATCATATTGAACAAAACCTTAGCAGTAGCTACATTGGTTTTTTTCCCCCAAACAAATCAACACTTTATCTCATGTTAACAAATCAATTACAAGAAGCAACCACTCGAGTATACAAGGAACAACCACACTGCACAGCAAAATTGAGGAGGAAGGATCATTGCCTGTGAAAATGCAAGGAACAATCACACTCCAGCAACTGGAAACCACAAAAACCAGTAGCTACATTGGTTAATTTTGTTGATTTTGGTTAATTTTCTTCATGGATTATTATCAAATAATTAGACCATGGTCCTTCAGTTTGTTTAGCACAACATGGTTCCATTGCCAAATCCTTCAGTTTGTTTTTCACTTCAAATTGGAATCCACTTTTGGGCAATTATTGGCTTCTTGTCAAATGAAATAGGCGCATGCCATACAGTTAGATCTTTTTTTTTTTGGCGAACTTTGACGGTGCACACCTAAGCAGCATCTGGTGAACCTCGACGGTGCACAACTAGTCCATTTGCAGCAGAAATTGTAGCCAGCATCTAAGGAGCAGTCAAGCAGAGCAGAGCAGCTGAGAAGTAGTCCAGCTGAAGCAGAAATCGCAGACAACAACATTGGCATGAATAGTGGCATAAATAGTCCAGAAATCTTGTAAGATGCATGCATAAATGATCCAACTAGCTGAATTGCACACATTAATGAGCTTCTTCCAAGACGAAATTTAACAAATATTCAAACCACAATAAAATTAACCAAGTGATAAAATTAAGCAAATATTAAAACTACAATAATGTATTATCAAAAGGCATATTTCAATCCTTAAGTTGTATTACAAATATCCAAAAGTATTAGAACAATACAACATTGGTAACGCAAGTAGACACAAAATACTAACTACAATCTTTCTCTTACACTACTAGGTAATCTTGTTATTGCATAATGANTATTATCAAAAGGCATATTTCAACCCTTAAGTTGTATTACAAATATCCAAAAGTATTAGAACAATACAACATTGGTAACGCAAGTGGACACAAAATACTAACTACAATCTTTCTCTTACACTACTAGGTAATCTTGTTATTGCATAATGANAAGCAAATATTAAAACTACAATAATGTATTATCAAAAGGCATATTTCAATCCTTAAGTTGTATTACAAATATCCAAAAGTATTAGAACAATACAACATTGGTAACGCAAGTAGACACAAAATACTAACTACAATCTTTCTCTTACACTACTAGGTAATCTTGTTATTGCATAATGATGCAAATCAACGCCACCATAGCAATAGAAATCACGTCAGATGGACAGGGTAACAGAAAGTGGACACAAAATACTATAATCATCCTCTTGCAAAACTAGACGATCTTCCTATTTTTTGTACTTGCTATAGAAAAAAATAGTACAATGAATGGTTGATTCAAGTTTAAGAACAAAAACTCAACTTTTGAATAAAAAAAAATTCCTAAATTTCTCTCCAACTCATCAAATATACTTGTCATTAGACGTTGATGTTGAAGACGTAAATGGCAACTCCAAAATGTCTACCATTTCTTTGGAGCTAGAACAAGGCAAATGGTGCATACCCTATTCACCATCCCAAGAAAGATATTGGTTACGGTAAACAAAAATAAGAAATTTCATAAATTNAAATTCCTAAATTTCTCTCCAACTCATCAAATATACATGTCATTAGACGTTGATGTTGAAGACGTAAATGGCAACTCCAAAATGTCTACCATTTCTTTGGAGCTAGAACAAGGCAAATGGTGCATACCCTATTCACCATCCCAAGAAAGATATTGGTTACGGTAAACAAAAATAAGAAATTTCATAAATTGAAATTATAGTACAACCATTCAAAAAATTGAACTTCTATAATGAATCTTAGATTGCTAACCATGAAATGATTTCCAAGACCTGTTTGAGTGACCCCCCATAGCAAGGCCATATTGTTCTATCACAAAAAAAAAGAAAAAAAAGTAGATAATACAATAAAAAAAAATTACGATGTCAACAAGATAATAACATATACAATTTTCATAACTCACATTACAAAATTGCAAAGAGGAGCATTGACCATCACTTATGCCAACATTANAAAGAAAAAAAAAGTAGATAATACAATAAAAAAAAATTACGATGTCAACAAGATAATAACATATACAATTTTCATAACTCACATTACAAAATTGCAAAGAGGAGCATTGACCATCACTTATGCCAACATTAACCATTTGTGTAATCTGCGAATCCTACATGTTTAGAGTTAAAAAATTAAGACAAATCACAATAATAAATAACATCCAAATATTATAATTATAATTTGGATGTTGATGTCATATTGTCATTCCAAGACTNGAATCCTACATGTTTAGAGTTAAAAAATTAAGACAAATCACAATAATAAATAGCATCCAAATATTATAATTATAATTTGGATGTTGATGTCATATTGTCATTCCAAGACTTTCTTGTGTTCCAAGTACATCAATCGCTTCACTCGTGGATTGACCATCAACAAGCCCAATGACATCGCTTTCACTCGATCGACAAGCCTGCAAAAAATAAAATAACGAAAGGAAATAATTACTACATTATTATTTTAAAAATTGTCATTTTATTCACACCTTTTCTCCTTTAGTGGTATGATTTTCAAGCGATAGTGTCTTCTTTTTCATTTTCTTTTTTTTTTCTTTGTAACTTGCTCAACTTTTAATTGCTTCCTTTTGAATGGTGGACGACTTTTGCTTTTAAGTGCTAATGAAGTAAGTATATTCCTATCCTTTGATATATCATTTACATCACCGGAGTTTCTACCAACAATCGAGCTAGGACTTGGTTGATAACTTCCACTATCTTCTTCGTTTTGCTGTAATTTCTCCTTTAGGTCATGTATACAATTCATCACAAACGTGCACTTATCTTCATATTCTGTCGCCAAGCTTGCCAACTCGCTAAAAGCATTGCACATTTTATCAAATCGTTTTNAAACGTGCACTTATCTTCATATTCTGTCGCCAAGCTTGCCAACTCGCTAAAAGCATTGCACATTTTATCAAATCGTTTTGCTTCAAGTGTGGCACTCAAACAGTTATAACTGATTTTAATTTTTGTGTGACATCTTTTTATATACTTCCTCTATCTCTGTNTTGCTTCAAGTGTGGCACTCAAACAGTTATAACTGATTTTAATTTTTGTGTGACATTTTTTTATATCCTTCCTCTATCTCCATATGATGTGCTTATCAGGAAGTGAGTAAATCTTTCTACAGACTAACACTGCCACTGCATGTTTGCATAATATTCCTCTATACTCAAACAATAAACAATTGCACTTCACTTCAGAATTTTTTTAATTAAACCAAACCTTGAAATTTACACTCTTTTCTCCTCAATCATGATATCCTCAGATACGTTGTATTCAAAAATCAAACCTTCCACTTTGATCGAAGTCAAATCACAATACATCTTCCTTTTCAATTCGTTTTGGAACTCCTTAAATTTTGAGATAGTGTAAACTCTTTGAACTTGTTTCTCCATGTCATAATGGGTTACACAAGGGACTTGCGAAGATAAAGACTTAAATTCTTCCTACTTCTCTTTTTCCACCTTGTCAATGCATTTTCATATTGTTTGACAAATTGTTTCAAGGTAGTCTTATAGTTGGCATAGCCATCAAAAAATGAGTTCATACTCTCACTTCGTTGTGTGGTAGACATTCCTGCCCAAAAAATGTTTTTCACAAAGATCGGCACCCAAAGACNTCCATGTCATAATGGGTTACACAAGGGACTTGCGAAGATAAAGACTTAAATTCTTCTTACTTCTCTTTTTCCACCTTGTCAATCCATTTTCATATTGTTTGACAAATTGTTTCAAGGTAGTCTTATAGTTGACATAGCCATCAAAAAATGAGTTCATACTCTCACTTCGTTGTGTGGTAGACATTCCTGCCCAAAAAATATTTTTCACAAAGATCGGCACCCAAAGACGCCTCTCATTGTACAACCCCACTCAACCAATTATTATTATGTAGCATGTACTTTTCAATCATTCCATTCCAACTTTCTTCAAATTCAGTACACCTTAATGAATCATAAACGACCCTTTGCACGAAATATTTGATGGATTCATAGTGCTCATAACCTCTCAACTTTTCAGGCAATTTCTTCATGATGTACCATAAGCACCATCGATGTTTAGCTTAGGAAAAATAATCTCAACTGTTTTTTGCATGACTTTGTCTTGATAAGTAATTATGGCATGCGGAGCTTTCCAAGACATACATGCAAGTCACGATTGAAACAATCAAGTAAATGTTTCTATGTCTTCACTGGAGATCAAACTACATTCAAGCAAAGCCAATTGCCCGTGATGATTAACACCTACAAATGGAGCAAAGGGTATGTCATACTTATTTGTCAAATAGGTAGTATCAAATGTAATAACATCATCAAACTCTTGATATGCTGCCCTNACGATTGAAACAATCAAGTAAATGTTTCTATGTCTTCACTGGAGATCAAACTACATCCAAGCAAAGCCAATTGCCCGTGATGATTAACACCTACAAATGGAGCAAAGGGTATCTCATACTTATTTGTCAAATATGTAGTATCAAATGTAATAACATCATCAAACTCTTGATATGCTGCCTTACTCCTCGCATCAACCCAAAACACATTCCTTAACCAACCCTCATCATCCAAATCCATTGTATAAAAGAAATTTGCATTTTCAGTTTGCATCTTTAAGAAATACTTTTGTATTGTAGAGGCATCTCCTTCCCTGAGCCATAACCGCCTTATTTTCTCAATATAGTTTCTACAATCATTCTCTAAAAAAGAGATATTTTCATGCCCCCAAGCTTCAACCACAAACGAGGTGAAATTTTTTTTTAGTCTAATTCCCGCTCGATCGTTCAATTCAAGCTTCCTTTTCACACGTGGTCTCATCACTCAATTGCGTCGAAAAAATTGAGTTTTGCTAGGACTCAACTCATTATTATGATCAAGCATGACAGTGTTCANTTTTTTAGTCTAATTCCCGCTCGATCGTTCAATTCAAGCTTCCTTTTCACACGTGGCCTCATCACTCAATTGCATCGAAAAAATTGAGTTTTGCTAGGACTCAACTCATGATTATGATCAAGCATGACAGTGTTCAGTCACCACTTTCTATCTATAGACAAAATTGCTAGGACTTTAGTCTTACAACCTACTTTTATGTTTGGATACGACTTCAATGGATATTTGGAAGTGGACTTCGACTTGCCTGATCGAGAACAAACAATAGTCACATATTTCAACTCATCATCCTCCCCTTTTATTGATGATCTTATCTTCACTGGGAACCCTAACCACTTACCATAACCCGTGTAGTACTCAAGCAACCGTTTATAACTTTCGAATATCATCCCAACCTTAGGCTCGTCTACATCAACTACATTCGTCATTTCAGTCACAACATTTTCTTCTATCAACTACAAACTACTTGAAGATTCATCTTCCATTGTAATAAAAATTTCCTGCAACACGTGCTTTGTTGATTAACCAAAATTTTGTCTAATGAAAAATATGCCTGAACACCATAACAAAATAAATTTATTTATGCTCCAAAATAACCAACAAAAGGAAATGAATTTTTTTTTTTTTTGTGTTTGACAAATCTATAAATCAAACCTTTGTTTGTATATATATATATAAATCAAAGTAAATAACTCGAAATATAACAATCGAAAATAAGTTGAAGCAACCTCCAATTATTACCCAGAAAATAAATAAAATGAAATTCATGTATTGTAGAGCCGACTATGGTGGAATCAATTTCGACAGATGTTTGGGACAATGTGTACTTCAACGAAGAGATGAAGAGGGAAGAGAACGGCTGACTTCGGCGAAGAGATGTAGCCAACTGAACAACGTGTAATCCGGTGAAAAAGCTTGTCGTTGAAGAAGGGAAGAACACTGATGAAGATGAAGACGAGGAAGAACACCGGCGTTGATGGTTTACTGCTTATGACTGGTGTCAATTTCAAGCGGATTTTTCCAGTGAAGAAGGTGTACTGGTTCAGGTTTTGGGCAGAATTTTTAGGGCTTTGGGGAAAGTAGTTCTTTGATTTGGAGAAAGAGAATGTAAAAACAGGGTTAAGATGTTGACTTTTTAAGTTTTTTTTTTTTTAAAAAAAATTAAGTGGCTTTAGTTATTGAGTTGGTAAGTACACATCAACTGTCACATCATCAATTTACTTATTTAGATCTAAAAATTAAGTTCCAATAACATTACTTTTTGTGAAATTGAAGACACTAAAAATTCANGGAAGAGAACGGCTGACTTCGGCGAAGAGATGTAGCCAACTGAACAACGTGTAATCTGGTGAAAAAGCTTGTCGTTGAAGAAGGGAAGAACACCGATGAAGATGAAGACGAGGAAGAACACCGGCGTTGATGGTTTACTGCTTATGGCTGGTGTCAATTTCAAGCGGATTTTTCCAGTGAAGAAGGTGTAATGGTTCAGGTTTTGGGCAGAATTTTTAGGGTTTTGGGGAAGGTAGTTCTTTGATTTGGAGAGAGAGAATGTAAAAACAGGGTTAAGATGTTGACTTTTTAAGTTTCTTTTTTTTTTAAGAAATTAAGTGGCTTTAGTTACTGAGTTGGTAAGTACACCTCAACTGTCACATCATCAAGTTACTTATTTAGATCTAAAAATTAGGTTCTAATAACATTACTTTTTGTGAAATTGAAGACACTAAAAATTTAAAATTTTATTTTGAAAGGATTAAAATAACTAAAATATTTTCATTATCATGCGAGAGGTTAGCCAACTATCTTGCAGTGCTTAGAAATGCAGGAAGTGTACTTCGTCTCCAACATCATGACTGGACCAAAACCTCTCAATTAATCTAAAGCAATCTTCATTGCATAAGATGCGACCCACAGGTTATCCAAGTCTTTATTCTTATCCGTAATGATGACGAACCCACTATGCCACCTTTCACCTTAACAATAAATTCCATTCAAAAATAGGGATGAATCTTCTAGCCGAATCCTTTTTGATTCAAGTTCCCATACGCGGTGAAGTGTCATTTTGCTTTTTACGTAGCCGACAATGAGTTAATTTAACCAATCTTATCTCAAGCCGACATAGTGTACACCTGACTTCTTCCAGAGTTGCCACGTTTTCTCATACTAAAGTGTCCATATATTTTGCCGAGGCACGTGTATGGCTTTCTTGCCATGCACCTTCAAGGTCGGAACACGTCCACCACCTTTGTTATCCTATAAAAGGGCCAGCCCCCAGCGAGAGCCTTCTCATCTGAGCATCATTAGAACGTATTTGTTTTGTGAACACTGGTTTTCATCTAGTTAAAGTTCGGTTTTGGATCTTTTTAAGCGTTCGTATTAGNGAACACGTCCACCACCTTTGTTATCCTATAAAAGGGCCAGCCCCCAGCGAGAGCCTCCTCATCTGAGCATCATTCGAACGTATTTGTTTTGTGAACACTGGTTTTCATCTAGTTAAAGTTCGGTTTTGGATCTTTTTAAGCGTTCGTATTAGAAGAAATGGCGGAATACGGAGAGAAATATGGCAGCCAAGGTCGCCAAACAGACGAGCATGGCAACCCGGTTCAGCACACAGGGGGAACCACTGGCGGTGGGTGCGGTGTCGGCACCGGCACTGGCTTGGGTGGCGGGGAGCCTCACCAGCAGCAGCACCATGGCCCTGGCGGCATTCTTCAGCGCTCTGGCAGCTCAAGCTCTAGCTCTGTTAAGTCTCCCTCTGCCCTCTATTCATTTTCCTATGCCATTTGACTTTTTAGATATATTTGAACTTTAACGTTAAATGAAGTCCATTAGTTGGTTTCTAACTTAGGTCTTCATATTAGATACAAATTAATATTATAATCTTTCTAATGGTGGTATCGTGACTGCTTTTATGCAGTCTGAAGATGATGGACAGGGTGGTAGAAGGAAGAAGGGACTGAAGGAAAAGATAAAGGAGAAGCTGCCCGGTGGGCAGAAAGATGACCCGGCGCACTCTACCGGTCCAGGCTATGGTTACGAAGGAGAGCACCATGAGAAGAAAGGAATGATGGAGAAGATCAAAGAGAAATTGCCCGGGCAACAAAATCGTTAAATTTATGGATGTCTCCTAAAAGAGTGTGTGTGTGTGTGTGTGTGTGTCATTTGTGCTTTGTATTTAGAATGAGCCTGGTTATCAACTCTACATACTACGTGGTGTATGATCAATAAGCGATGCTCGTTTTCTTCCGGGCATCTGCCCGTGTGTATTGGCTATGGGTGCTGTTATGATATTTGATATTATGTTATCCAAGGCGTTGTAGTGCTGTGATCTGTGTGAGGTCCCTATTTGTTTGACTGTTTTGTATTTCCTTATGGCTTGCCTACGTTTTCTGAAATCCCATCGGTTCTCCCTGTTCAGCAGCCAGCTTGCTCATTTCTACAAAATCAGAGAAAATGCATCATCTATATAAGTGTATTATACTGTCCAGTTCAATGCCATCACGATCTATGTTTTTGGTATTGAATCATAGTAGACAAAACGTCTACTACTATCAGAAAGACGCATGTTAAGAAAATTCTGTCATTGAACTTGTTTCTCTCTCCCTCTCATTCCCCTAATTTATTACTACCATACCCCCATTCGACTTTCCAATTGAGCAACGTGGACTTAAAATCTAAATTTAAAAATTAAATTTAATAATTATAATTATTAATTTTATTGGAGATTTTAGCGTTTATTAAGATTGATTGTCAATTCAATGGTGAAGATTTATCGAGTATAATTTCTAAGTCTATCTAATATTATTTTTTTCAGTATCATACCAAAAAAATAAGAAACTATCATCGTGAATTCACCCCTTTTTGGTAAGAACATTTCAAGTGGGGATGATATCCACTAAAAATAACTTTATATTAAAATATATATAGACCGCCTTAAATGCTGGTAAGTCCTTTCCAAAAGGTTATAACTACATTAAAATGTGTAACTGAACTCTAATAGTTGGGTTTATGTTACCATTTTTGGTGCAGTTGTAACATTCTAAGGTGAAGTTATCACCTTTTNATGTAACTTTACATTAAAATGTGTAACTGAACTCTAATAGTTGGGTTAATGTTACCATTTTTGGTGCAGTTGTAACATTCTAAGGTGAAGTTATCACCTTTTCAGAAGGACTTGCGAGTTTTTAGAGTGATGTTACTATTTTTTGAGTGAAATTATCGTTTTTTTTTTGTAGTTTATGGTAACCTTTTGGGATGCTCTTGCTATATTTTAGGGGTACTATATGAATTAGGACTTTTTAAGACATTTTTTGTGGCAGTTTTCAAGGTCACAAAAAAATGTTTTTGAAGAAAAAAAAGGTTTTTTTTGGGGGGTNATTTTTTGTGGCAGTTTTCAAGGTCACAAAAAAATGTTTTTGAAGAAAAAAAAGTTTTTTTTTGGGGGGGTTATTATTGTCACAAAATGTTTATTTGTTGTCTCAAATTCTATTTGAGTTGGGTCATTGTCACCATAAAAACTTTTTAAGAGAGCAAATAAATCTTTTTGTGATAGTAATATTACCACAAAATACCTTTTTTTTTTTCAAAAACATGTTTTTTTTTATGATGGTAAACGCAATTATTACAAAAAAATTTATTTCGAAAGACCCTGGAGCAAATTACAAATGGAAACCTCTCTACTTTTCTGCATGGATATCCAAAAAAAGGTGGATATCGTAATGTTACCCTCGATTCAGATCTCTGCGGCGTTCCAAATATACGAGGGCAAATACTGATTTTTAATTTAAAACATTGGTATTTAAATAAATTTTTGTTGGGTTAGGTCGAGTTACAAGTGAGTAGCTCAACCCATAACCATTGGTCCATAGCTTATTTATTTACCTTTTTTTGTTCGGTGGTTAAGAAATGCGCAAAAAGAAAAAAAAAACTGGTGGTTGGTACAACGTGGCCAATTAAGGACCACGTATGAATTGCAGACTTTGGGCTTGTTTGGAATTCGGTGAAATATGTTGATTTTATATGCTTTGAAGTAAAAAAAAAAGAAAGGACGGACCGGCTTATGCAGCAGTTTTTTAATGGAAAATTGGAAGTTGATATACTTAAAATAGAGTTAATTATAAAAAAATACGAAAAATATTATATAATCAAATATGTAATTCAAATTTACATCTCAAATGAATGTGGATCATTAGATGAGTGAGTCTCATCAACTTTTTTTAATTGAAACTCATTGACCTATCCATCCTTCTTAATTTGGAACGCACATTTGGTATTAAATTTTGGGATATATAGCATTGCTCAAAAAATATACATAAAAAAATGTAAAGTAAAGAAATCCTTAATTTTGATACTTATTTATTTCTAAATACACTATTTGAAATTTCTAAATTTTCTTGTGACATTTTTGTTCACCCTTGATCGATGTGTATATTTTTTTTTTGAAAAGTGGTTTTTTTTTTTAAATTATATTTATGCAATAAACATCTCTTAGTTTTTTGGGAGAATTTTAATATTCCATACATTTATGTCATTTCTTGATTTCATGCTTTTTTTTTTTTTAAACTGGTTTTATTTTCAAATTATATTTATGCATTAAATATCTTCTAATTTTATTGAAAAACTTTAATATTATGTTATTTTAGGATATATCACTTTGTTTGAATTTCAAATTTCGTTAATATACGAACACCATAACAGTGTAATAATAACAATGTAATAATATATTTACACAAAATATTATACTATTATATTTTGTCAAATATATATTTTCATATAATTTTATTCAAACAGTCCATTTCTATTTTAAATTTGTTACCATATGCACAAAATCACTGAACACTGTCTTTGTTACAATGTATTGTTACACTGTCTTTGTTATAGTGTATTGTTATACTGTTTTTGTAACACTACGAGGGAAACACAATCAACAGTTAAGAGATACACACAGTTTATTCACACACAATGAATTAATATAGCAGAAACATCGTATTCCACACAGGCCAATGATCAACTTTCAACAACTAGTTTTGGTCTTCAAATGTCGAAGTTCTTATGTATCTTCAAATGACAAACAAATCTTCAAAAAATATATGATGTTGACGATCTTTACATCAAATGGGCAGAACAGTAAGAATTTTCTTTTAAAGACAAAACCCTATATATGTTCATGGAAAAAATTTAGAGTTTATCGTTGAGGAAGATGAAGTGATTTTTAGAGAAGAAGAAACCCAAACGTTTTCCGAAGATGAAGCGCTTCGCAAATAAATTTTAGCGTATCTAATTAATTAATTAAGATATATTCCTAAAAGCATTTTAGGAAAATAAATTTTAGGATGAAGAGATTTCGAATTAAATGACCATAAATTTCAGCGCCTAAGATAAATGTCTTGTTACAGAATATAGGACATAAAATTTTACAAAATGGGCATTTACGTCATTGTATCTCAATAGTGTACTCTTTTTCAAAATATTATTTTTTGTATACTTTTTTACAATTATGTCTAATTTAGTATACAGGCTTCCAAAAGACCCCTTTTTAAACTCAAAAAGACTTATTTTGGTTAATTCAAGAAGTTGATGTTTTGAGCTTTTCTTTCGATTTTTTGGAGTTTTATCATAGGTCTCACACAATTTTTTAGTTCATTATATTCATAAAATATTTTTAGTGACGTATAAAAAATTTAAATTCATATTTAAGAACTATTATTCATAATCTATACACAAATGTAATTATTTTTTTATTTTGACACAAAAAAATCAAAAAAAATTAGAAAGTCACTTCAAATAGACTTTTCTAACTTTTTAAAGAATATCCCCAAACGATTTTGGAGACATTTTTTAATTCTGACATTTTTGTCATATTTTTCAGAATGCAACTTTTCACCAGAAAAAAATTAACTCTAAAGAGGTCATTTATCTTCAAACTAAACATTTGTAGCAAGGATGTGGCAATATTTGGCGTTTCGAGTTTGAGGGGCTTAAAAGCTTTGTTGCAATGCTTATACTATGTGTGTGTGTGTGTGTGAATAGTAACTTGTAGAGCAACTTTAAGACCAAAAACTGAGAGAAAGAAAGTGTGTTATTCAAAAACCATTTAGCTTTCGATATTGACAAAATTTCAATATGTTCTTTGCAGAAGCGAGAATTGTACTTAGATCTTTATATGTTTGAAAGCCTTGCCGGCATGAAATTTTGGTAAGACCTATTGGGTGAGATGTCTCTTGTTATTTTCATTGAAACCCACGTTAGAGTGACAAATTCTTATTGTAATCTAAGAGTTTAGTGTTCTTGATACTTCAATAGCCTCAAGAATTTACTATGAAGGGTTCTTGTAAACTCGTTATTGTGATATAATGGAAGGTAAAATTGGACTTTGGTATCGTAGATGTACCTTGAGTTAGAGGGAATCATGCAAATTTTGGTGTCTTGCTAGTAGTTGATTTATTACTTGTTTTATTTTTTTCATTGTTTCAATTTGGTGCATCGCCTATTTAATTTGAATAAAGTGGGGAAGAAATTAATTCTGCAATTTTGTGTATTCATCCTAACAAAGTGGTATTAAAGCGCATGTTCCCTAATCATTTTTGTAGTCAATTTTCTTGTCCAAATCAAATGGAGGAATCTTCGGGTTCCATGATCAAAGTTGAAGCCCCAAATTATTAAGCCAAGAAGACTAAAATGGAGGATATTTTGTATTGCAAAGAGCTGTTTGAACCCATTAAGTTGATTGAAATCAACTCGGTAACAAAAAAAAAAGATGAGTAATGGAAGAAATTGAATTGGAAAGTCATTGGATATAATGGGTAGTGAATTGATACAAGTGTCTTTCATCATGCTGTCAAAGAAATTTAAGCTTATAAGCTTTGGCATAAACTAGAGATTGTTTCCAAACGCAACCTATCACAGAATAAAGCCTTTATGATTCGGTCACTTATAAATTTGAAGTATAAGGATGGACAAAATGTTGTGGAGCATCTGAATAATTTTAAAGAATTACTAAACGAGTTGTTCACCATGAAGCTTGTGCTAGATGTTGAGGTCCAACCATTGCTTCTATTGAGTTCCTTACTTGGTAGCCAGGAAACTCTAATTGTGTCAATCAACAACTCGGCTCCTAATGGTGTGATCTCTATCATTATGGTGAAATATAGTATGTTCAACGAAAATGCAAGAAGGAAAGAATAGGGTATTTCATCTAATTCAAAACACTTGTTATAGAAAATCAAGGGAGAAGAAAAATCCAAAAATTCCAAGGTGATGCCGATTGTGATAAGTCAAGAGGAAGGTCCAAGTCAAAATTTGGATAGTCAAGAAAGGGCATAAAATGTTTTCATTGTGTCAATCCTGGACACCATAAGAAAGAGTGCAGAAAGTGGAAATGAGAACAACTCAATAATGAGGTGAAGAAATGAAAAACAAAAATGATACAATAGTTGCATCTCACGTTGATGCTATTATTGTTTGTGATTATTCTTATGTTAATCTCACATGCGAGGACTCTACTTGGGTAATTGATATAGCAGTTGGGTTCCATATTACCACACGTAGCGATTTCATCTCTTCCTATTCCT